GAATAAAAATAAATAAATAATACAATTATTATTGAGTGTTAATTATTGTCATTATTTTTATAGTATTTGTTTAAGATATTTATATCGTTGGTTTGTCATTAATAAATCATCTTTATTAAGTCATACTAGCATTTTTATCTAGAAATGAAGTCAAGGACAAATGTAAAAATATTATATTTAAATTTAACAATATTTTATCCTGCAAATGATTTTTCTAGTATAAGTACTGTACAGCCAATACTTTACTTAAATAAAATTTTTAATAAAGCATTCTTAACATAACAATATCTAGAAAATATGTTTGCGCTACTAGAAAATCTCGTAACGCAAATGAGTAAAATTATACGAGTCACATACCTGTCATAAAACGAAGATAATTGATAAGTTGCTACAGGCCCAAAGTGAAAATCCAGGTTGCCTCCCTTCTAAGTTCTAGCTCTGATTACTATATTTTTACGAACTTGATTGATAAAGCTGTAATTTATAAAATCAGAGCCCACGTTCATCTAATAACTATACTAATAACAGATATGCACAAAATATTTAATAATAATGAATACGATGAACGACTTATATTTATAGATTTTAGGTTTTCAGTTTTAAATCGAAATTCTAAAAAGACAATCCATTGGTATTATTTTACGAGATCGAAAACTAGGAAAATCGGCAAATGTCATTGCTATGGCTGTCAAAATGACAACTATGTAGCAATATAATCTATGATGACAACTGATATCAGATATTATATAGCTAAACGATAAAGTTCTGTACATAATTATAATATAAAAATAATAGTAATAAATTTATAACAAACACTAGGTATTTAATTTTATTTTGATATGGTATGGGTGACACTACAATTGTTACAACATTGCGATATCTAAGACATTTTCTGCCCCGCACAAACACTCTGTGGATTGTGGAGTGTGGAACCAGCTGTCGCCACTCGCCAGCGCTTCGATCAACAATACTACTAAATATTGGGTTGACGTAAGAAATCCGTCTCAGTAAATATCAGCTCATTTGAAAAGTGAGCGTATATTTCGATTAGTTCTATTGAAACACTGCCAATGTAAGCACGTTCACAATGCTGCAATATGTATTTAAAAGTTGCAAAAATAATGCGCGAAGAAGAAATATTTCAGACGGAGTACCTTATTTTCGGTAAATACATGTAGAGTAAGTCAATATTTTAAGATTTAACCTACGAAATAATATAAAAATGAAATTTTGAACAATTTTAAATCCACTAGGAATGTTGGCCCAGGTCAGCCAATATACGCGCCAATTCAAAGAAGCAAACAGAAACAAAACATAACGATTTAGCTCCCAAAGTTACAACGGAAAAAAGTGCTTTAAAGTTTTCATATAAGGTTGATTTTACAATAAAGATAATAAATCTTACGAAAAGATCATAAGTGTATGATGATAATGCGAAGATTTGTGACTTTATTCCAAGGTGTTGATTAACTTGAAAATAAAACTATTTTTTTTATACTATTCAGAATTAGTGCTTGTAACCTGATGGTAAGTGGTAACGCAGTCGTAGATGGTAAGTCGCACTAATTCAAAAATACGATTTCAGGTATATCTTTGCGAACAGTTGCAAGAATTGAAAATAATTATAGCAAAAAAAAATATTTATTTATATTAAATAATGTAATTTTATTCATATTTTAATTTTATTTTCATGTAATAAATTCTATCATCCAAACATTTCCTAAGTTTAAATTGAATTACGGAATATAGAGATAGAGTTTAAAGAATTCCCTAAAACTAAGTAGATTGTGTTAGCTTGTAACCCTAATTTCACACCAACGCCCTCATGTCAATGTCATCTAAGTGCCAAAAGTTTTATTTGTCATCCATGGCCAAAAGATCCTTGTAGAACATTGGTACAATAATTTAAATATAAATAAGTCGTCTTTTATTTCATTATATTTCGTCGCTTTTTTTCATTTTGAATATATTCAAAAATAGTTTATTTGCTTACTATAATTATACGTTGTAAAGCTAATTTTGCAGATATCTGAAAATTTAAAGCATTAATGAAGCCATTTTATAAAGTATTTTTATACAATTTAAGCACAATAATTTTATTACATATAAAATGAAAAAATATTTTTACAATTTTGAAACAGTTTTGCTACATTCATATACATATGTATTAAACCATGGATGCCTAGTTCCACAATACCACAATTTGTAACGATAAGTCAAGCCAAAGAATAAAACCCAATAATCGTAAGTTCTGATTAGCTTATTTCTTCCAAGTACTTATTAACTCGGTAGGAGGCGCTACCAGGTAAAATTTACCACATAGTGCATAATTTCGTAAATATTTATTTTTCTGCTTATTTTTGTGCAACGCCATTTTAGATACCTTTCGACAGATGTACGGTAATCCGCTATATTGAATTAAACACCAGTTTGTGCGCGGCGTTCAGCTACATCAGAATTAAAAGGTGCTTAAGGGTATTTTTTACCCCGTAGCGACTATTTGCGTTCTATTATTTTTATGTCGGTTCATATTGTTTTTTTTTGTTTTGAAATATCAAGATGGTTATTTTCTGCTAAATGAACAGCAAATAGAAGAATATCTGCTTTAAGAAAATAGTGGCAAAGAAGATATTTCTGAAATAGTAAATAATGAAGAAAATAGTGAACATGAAAGTGATTCAGAGCAAGAAGGACATATGGTTCGAACGTCCACAGCGATGTCGACTTTTGATGAAGAGGATACGGTGCCTCAGCCATCCATAATCACCGGTATCTAGATGACGTACTCTGCTTTATAGGATTCAAGGATTACAGACTGACTGTGTTTGGAACCGTGAGAAAAAATAAATTAGTAAAATATTTATGTAGTTCCGTTTTCGTATTTCAACCTGAATGCACATTAGTATCAGGACCTGCGGGTATAAAAGGTATAATAACGTTGATACTTGGTGGTAGCAATGAATAAAATGAACAAAACGACTATATGATTCGTTCTCATCAGAAAAGAATTTTGTAGCCGCACTCGCAAATGTCTGCATCACGATGTTCAGTTCATCCTTGGAATAAAAAGATATGTAGAGAACATACCGTTCCTATTTGTGAAGAATGTCCTCAAAAATATTAGATATAACTAGAACATGTTGAGACATTTGCTAAGAAGAGAGATTTTTTATGTCGTACTTTGAGAGTATTTTTTCATAAACATGCCAAATTAAAACATGTTGCAATTGTCATAATAAGTAAGAGTATGTCATGTTCATTTGGTATTCATATCGTTTTTTTAGTTTATTAATAAATTTAGAGTCTAATTTTGGTTTCTTAATGTGCAATATGTAAAACGCAAATAATTTTAGGCTGTGTTTTCATAAAAAAAATTACCACTTAACATAAAGAGTTAATTACTTTGTTTTTATATTATTTGGCTTAAAATATAATGAAATACACAATAAGAATATGTTTAATTTAAATATCTACATTAAAGCCAAGTTTTTTCATATATTACATTGTGGTATTTCTTACCCGGTAGCGACAGTTTGTGTTGTATTATGGAGTGCGCCTCCCGCCGGGTTAAGCATTAAGGAATGAATTATTCACTATCCCATGTAAAAGTTCTGTTAAAACTGTCACCAATTGTGTTTATTATTATAATTAATATTAAGTGTGGGTAATTATTTTAGTTGAAATAAATATATAACTTATAAAATTAAATGCAATGCTTTTCACAAAAAAATTATGACCGAGGCTCGCCGCCGCACGTCGCGCGTCGTCGTGATAAGGAATGGGTGCTTATTATGACTTCATTTAAAAATACTTACAAACTGTTTTTACGATGATTTTTTTTAAAAATATCAGTACCTTTACAATATAGTAATAACAATTATATAATGATAATATCGATACTTACCGAAAATATGAAACTCCGTCGTTTTTTGCGTCATAAATGTGTGATTTTTGCAATTTTTTAATGAACACCGAGGTGTGTTTACTATTTACCGTCGGCCAGAGCGTTTGCATGCTACTAAATTAAAAGCGCGCTCAAAGGTTTAAATGAGCGCTCATTCAATGAGGACATTTTTTGTCGCTGATTGTGTATCTAGTACTTTTTGACTTTTAAATGAAAACAGGTTATTTTTCTTCTTACTTTTATATATTTTTTATTTTGGGCTAATTTATTTTATTTACATATTATATGTAATATTTAAATAAATTAAATTAGTACTAAATAAAAAATATATAAAAATCATTAAAATTACTCAATTTAAATAAGAACACAGTCATGAGTATTAATTAGCAAAGTATCGAAGGAGATTGTAATATATTCTTCTTATAGCAAATGTGGTCATAATTTTTTTTCGTATAATAACATTGACCGGTATGTGAAGTAAAAAATTATAAATGGTTGCAGTTAAGTACATGGAACGCGTAACGCGGCCTCTGCAGAAGTCAGAAGTGGGTGATATTTTTAGATCTAAGGAAGGTAATAAGCTCATAGCGCGAATAAAATAATTGTTGTTACTACGTTACTCATAGCGTATGGAGTTACTCTATATATATATATATATATATATATATATATATATATATATATATATATATCAATACAATATATATATATATATCAATACAATCACAGATCATATAATACTATACTAGTATACAATAAACAATATTATTTACGAAATCCGGTGCAAGCGTCTACATAATAATTAATAAGACATGAGCAGACCAAATCAATTCGACTATTCGAATTTCGATAGATGCGTAATCTGGTGTGTGCTAGCCATTACAATAGACAGCTATGTATCTAACTTATTAATTATTATTGTGAATCTGTGTGTCTATTGAATTGTCATATACGACACGTACATCTGTGACTATAATTTGTATTTTTCATCTATGATGAATTATGATTTATTTATAGTAGCCCGAGAAAAGTTAAATTATTTACATTTGGTAAATGTTTTTGCAAATAATAAAAATTATATAACTCATATTTCATAATGGATACGGTAGTCAAGAGTATGTTGGATGAAGATCCTAAAGAAGAGAAGGAAGTAAGGATCAAAAATGATAGAAAATTTCTTTAATTTATTAATTTTTATAACTAAAACACATAGCTAGAAACAATAAAACTATGTTTAAATTATTAAATAAGTATATAACATCTCAAGTTATGTAAAGTTGTACTAAATAAAAATGATTTACACTTTATTTGCTCATTGTGAGCTTTTATTTCATAACAATTTTATTGATAAAATTTTTAAGGTAAAATATTGTATATTATTTTATATTTCAACACAATATGTCAGTATCTGTGTATATGTATAAGTAATGTAATTTGAAATAATACTTTTCAGGGTTTGGTTATATTTGGAAGAGATATCTCCAAAATTCCTTGTTTTCGTGAAAGTTTCATGTATGGGATAGCATCAGGAATAGGAGTGGGCCTAGCTTCATTTATAAAAACTTCAAAGCCTTTGATGTCTCAGCATGTTGGTGTTGGCACATTTGCTATAACAACTTTAGTCTATTGGTCATATTGTAGATATGAATGGTCAAGGCAGAAGTTTGATGCACAACTACTACAAGAAGCTTTGAAGGATAAAATTAGACATGAAGGAACTGTACTTGAAAAAGAGTTAGAAGAAAAAGGAATTTTAAAGTCAGCTTAAGTATAAGTGTAGTATTATATAAAATATATTTGGTTGAACTGTACAATATATATGTATCGATTAAAGGGGGGAGAGAGTGTGGGGGAGGGGTGAGAGGGACTCCCCTTTAAAAGGGACAACCATGGAGGCTAGTAGTTATTGAGATATTTAATTTTTTAAATTCAATTTTTGAGGTTAAATTATTGTGAAAACAACTTAAAGCATTGCACTTAAGGTTTAATTTACATTGTTGTATATTTCAACTAGAGTAATTACCTAAACAAAATTGGTGACAGTTTAAAGACAACTTTTGCATGTATAATATAATAGGTACTGGAAAAAGTGGCTACTGATTAAGCAAAAAGTTCTAGTCGTTCTGGCATGTTGTGGTCACTGTTCTAACCTAACCAACCAAGAAAAAAAGATTTCTGCCAAAAAATAACCTAAACCTATTTTGATAAAGCTTTCCTGCGTGGAAATAAAAAACAATTGCAAGTTGCAACTGACATTGTCATAGCTTTTCATATTCAGCTAATTCTGACATTGACATATCACATAAGCAATATATTATGTACCAGTTTATATTTGTTATACGTACGTACGTACATACAAATAAATCAAGATTTTAACTATTAAATTATGTATTTAACTGTAATAATGATTGAAAATAACTCAGAGTATTCTATTCTATTGAATATTGTAACAAACTTTGTGAAAAACATGGATGAGTATGTGTATAAATGTGGTAAAATTTCATGAAAGCTTGAAACTTGAAATTTTTTTTTTGATGAAACTATTTCTTTCCCCGGTCTCAAACTTTATATATAGGCTTCTAATAGAGAGATCTATTGGTGAAAAAAAATTAAGTCTCAACTCGATGTCATATATTGTACAGTTGAGCCATATATTTAACTATTTGTTCATTTCCATTATTTCATTTCAACAAATTATATTCTTATATAATTACAATAAATGCCATGTTATATTCAATAAGAAAGCTTTTGCTGTATGGCAAACTTGAAGAAACACATAATTTTTTATGCATTGTGTTTATAAAGAAAGAGTTATTTGCTATAAATTGTTATATAAAGCAATGTATTATTATTTATAACATATTATATGTACCAGCATTTTGAATAAAAAATATTTAATTCTAGTTGTTATATAAAGCAGATGTTTGACATTTAATGTATTAATAATAATACATAATAATTATCTAAGTAACTTTTATTTGCAACCTACAATGTTCAATGGGAAGGTAATCCAACACAACTAAAGAGTAATTAGGTGCAGGATAAATGCATTTACATGTTCTCTGAGTCACAGTGATCTAAAATTATCAACTTCACAAGTTTGGGCTTATAATACTGAAAATTACCAATGAATAACCTCAATATTAATTTTGGTCCAATTCAACCAACACTTCTTAATCTGCAGAGAAAGCATGTAGCTTTCTCTGAGGCACAAAGAGAAACACTCAATTTCACAATACTGTGCCAGTATAGAGAATTTCTGACAGATCCCAATAAAAAACATTGTTGAACCAAGACAATTTGCAATTGTATAAGCTTGTCACTAGCCAGACCATACCAATGAGTTGCCTATCCAATATTACAAAAAAACGATTCACCCTCGCTTCGCTTCGTTTTCGTCCCTAGACAAAATAAATCTATCCCACGAGAACCGTATATTTTTCCGAGAAAATATATAGCATAAAGCCTTCTTCAAAAAACAGGCTAATAACTAATGCAAAAAAAATTCAAATTGGAATAGTAGTTCCTGAGATTCAGTCAAATAAGGTCTGAAATCAAAATCCCCGTCAAGGGTTAAAAAAAATTGTCAAAAGTGTTTTTTTGCAATTACTCGAAAACGGTAAAAAAAAGATTTAATAAGAATGTGTAGAGCTTAAAATTTTACATAGAAAAGGTTTTATGACTTTTCCTCCGGTCAAAATTAACCGAGTTGGGGAGGTTTTAAATTTAAGGGATGAACGTAAATTTTTTAAAATCGTTGGTAGTAGAAAAATAAGTGATATTTTTGAAATTTCTTAAAAAAATTGGTCATTTTTAATTTTCATTGAATTTATATGTTGTAATAACAAGTTTGTAGAAGTCGTGAGCGTTGGCATCCTTACGTGGTACTAATCCAACCTACTCGTCCGAAACGCCAACTAGGTGTGAACAACCGTCCAGCATCCGTGTTTCCTGCCACCTATAATGTGAGTACCTTCAAAGCAAGAATATTCATCTTCTAGGCAAACGCGCTCCAACCTAGACCTCATCAGCTTCAACTGCTTCTCAGCGTTGATTGTCGTCAAGCGCAAGCCTATCCAGTAAAAAAAAATCGCTTGCCAGAGTTATTAATAGGGAATGGTCCCGTTTTATTGGCCTTAATTGCCACAGAAGAGATTTTGACTTCCGCCCCGGACGGCATAAGTGCACGCTACGCCACTGGTGAGATGCATAGATTTAAGTGAATTAAATAGTATCCGAGTACACTAGTCACTTTTAAAAGGTTACTTTGAGACTCGATTCAGTAAAACAAGGGTCAACTCGTTAGATTCCGTCCCGCCGCCGCGTAGCTTTCTGTCGCGTCTGAAGTCTGAACGTGATAAACTCAAAAACTACCGAACGAATCTTCATACAGTTAGGTCAGTTAGGAACATTTAGGTGTATAATTCATTAATGTTTTGTGTAAATTGGCTGAAAGATGACGATGATTGTTGAAGATGTCGAAAAACATTATGCTGACTGGAAGCTTTACTGTCGTGCGACGCGTATACAAATACTTAGAGAGTTATATAAAAACAACTACGGAATTATTGCTCTTAAAAGATCTATTAAACTGTAGTAACGCTATATGTACATTGTACGTACCTAGGAACGCACCCGAGCGAAGCAAAGGTAAGTCGCTAGCGTACATATCAGTTAAATGTTGGCATGGTGTATTTATAATGTAGCTAATTTTTGAGCGACTTTCAGTCAGACAGAACATTGATTTAGTACTACTTGTTTAAAGATTATCTTCACACAAGGAGTTTTGATTAGATAAGATTATATTAGGTATATATTAGCGGCTTACCCTCGCTTCGCTCGGGTGCGTCCCTGGGTGCGTTTTAATTTTTTTGAGCGGTACCCAACTTCTTTTTTAAAAATAAAAATAGCCTAAGTTATTCCTTATAAAATCAGCTATCTGCCAGTGAAAGTCCCGTCGAAATCAGTCAAGCCGTTTCGGAGTACCGTATATAATTTCATATCCATTTAGTTAAAATCTATTATTTAAACAACAGCTGTTATTTACAAACAGAGATTTCAATTTTATTTATCTGTACAGATAAATTGAAGTAAATAAAGTTGAGAACGCTCAAGGATTAATGTGTTAGTGTTTACTAGTAACCTCAATCCTCGAGTATTTATGAGTGTATTAATCTCTTATTTCTATTATATACTAGCAACTCACCCTCGCTCCGCTCGGGCTCGTCCCTAGTTACGTTTTAAAGTTAACAGACAGACAGACAGACACATTCTACAAACTATAGATTCGGTCTCTATATCGATAATAATGTCTATTTCAATAATATTTTCCAAAAAATATTTAATGTAGGTACAGATTCGGCTAAGTTACAATTTTATTATATGTATAGATTATTGATAAATGATGATGCCACTATGATTGATTAGATATAGAAGCATTCGTCGGTATTATTGGCAGGCTGTAGCCTGTAGGATAATTGAAAATGCATCACATTCGCGATTCGATCGTGCGACCCCTAACATAACATACCTAAGCAATATCCATTATACAGTATACACGTAATCCAAATCGAGTCGATGGCCAAATATTTATCATAATATGAGACAGTTTAGTAAAATATCATTTATTAATGAATATAATAGTTGCCTAGAAAAACATTAATACTCTATTATTGCCGAATTCATTTGAGATTTTTAATAGGTCACTCCTGCAGGAGGTAGTAGGTACTTATAAGGGTTTCCATTTCTTTGAATTTATTTCTAGTTGACGAAGGAACATTGTGTTATCACAGAACACATAATACCTACTATGCATTATGCAGTCGGAGAAATCCATACCTCAACTTCGAATAGAGATGAAACAGTTATCTGGCAACTATCTGGTATCCAGCCTATCCGGCCTTATTGTGCTATCCGGATAGTAGTATATTATGGCAAGATTAATCGTACTGTGTCGTTACGAGAAGCGCGCGAAATGGCGGGCGTTTAAAGTAGGTATCCGTATCGGTATGATATTTGGATTTTTTTTATATGTACTAAATTTTAGTTTTTTGGAGCCGGATATTTTTTTACAATTATGTAACGATGTAGCTATTCTATAAGAACATAAAAAATACACTCATATTCGCTATTGTGTAGACCTTTTAATAGAAAGAGACCTACGAGGAAAAGTTTGATATAAATAATCTAAGGAGGAAAACTTGATCTGTAACAATAACAAACCAGTTTCAATGTACTATTAGGCAAATAAGTGTGTTTATTAGGAAATGGATCTAACTTAACAACAGTGATCCATTAGTAATTACTCGTCACTCAATGCCTCCAATCAACCAATCTATACATTCTTTTACATATTATATGTATAAAATAAAATAGTAAGCTGTCTGCGGTTACGTCAAGTATTTTTTGGATTTACTTATTTATAGGCACTAGTTAGGTACCTAATACCCCTTTTTTTATGTTGGGAAATGCATTTACGCATACCACCTGTATACGAACAGGTGGTTATATGGGACTCACCGGCTAGAAAAGTCTGTACCACAAAAACGTGAAAACAAAAAATGTGTGTAAAACCTCCCCAACTCCCTAAACTATACGCTCCAACGTCTGCTGAAGCAGACCACTATAGCAATGGGGTTGCTCTAATAGTCCACTCTGATATCAAAGAAGTGCCAGGAGCAACCCGTATGGCACATGTACAACGCCCACCGAGGTGGGCCGCCTCCCTGTGCGTTTCTTGCGCCTGGCTGGATTAATGGACGCTAA